GACCTTTTCTGTCGTCATCAATCCCCAAGTACTTTTAAACACGTATAAGCCAACTAAGATGAACTCTTCTCCCCATGGGACTTCCATCAGTTATCATTTCATGACGGTTAAGCAGAATCTATCACCTAATGGCCTTATTCATAAAAAATAAAGTAGGTTTAAAGAGCTTTATAAATTGACGTTTTTATACATTTTTCAATTTATAAACCTTTTATAAAGCTACTTTATTTTTTACGAATAAGGCCATCAATTTTTTAGCTTCTCATAAATTTATAATTACAGTCTTTTCCTGTGATTTATGAATCGCACGCGATCATTCGAAGTACAGATGTTACACGCCTTCTTCCACACTTAATGTAGGTGTCTCTACTCAGGAATTGCCGCAGTTAAAAAAGCAAATCCAAATTTTCCTAAATAATTAGCCAGTATTTCAATTTCGATAGGCAGCGAAAAGTCCAACCGCCTTTGGACGAAATGTTCCACGCGTTTTGACACTCCATCGCGCTGTGATCTCTTGCCCTGCCTCGGAGGCTTACTAGCAATTCCCCGTTGTAGCTCTGAGTTTCAACAGATCTCTGGAATCTACAACAGAGGTTGATGGTTGGTGTGAGGGCGTGAAGTCTTAAATAAAAGAAAGACTAGGGGCTGCAATTTATTGCACCGAACCGGAAATTTATAGATCCTTAAGCTATCAGACCATTGCCGTATCTATCAAGCCGAGGTCTTTGAAATAAAGAAAACAGCTGAGATACTAAACAAAATATATAGTGAAGGAGCCATTCAGCCTCTAATTTAATACAAAATGAAATCGCGGATTGTAAGGAGACTATAATAAGGCTAGCTGTGGCTAAAACTGTCAAACTTTATTAGGCCCCAGGACACAAGGGTGTGGACGGTAATGAGACTGATGAGCTAGCCTAGGAGGCCTACTCTTAGCTGCCTCACTAGTAATAAAACTGTAGTTTTAATTAATTAGTTTTAACCAGAAAAACAGGCATTGGGACCATAGTGCATTGTTAAGTTTATAGGGCATTTCTGGCAACTCTCTTTCAACTCACCACAGTCTTTCGAAACGCAAAAGTCTTTTGTAAGACAATTGTCCATTCCGACAATTAAATATATTAAGAGCTCTTTTCTGTCTTTCGAAAGACTAATTGAAAGATCCGCTGTTTGTATTTTAGCAATAACGTTTCTTAAAATTCAATCAAATAAAAAATATATACTTCTTTTAAAACACTAAAAACTAAAAATTAAATTAAAAAATTCAAAAAATTTGATGAAAAGAAAGAAAAAAATAAACCAATTTCTAAAAATTTTACTAAGTGGAAAAACAAATATTTTCATATTTTTCTTTTTAAAAATAAAAAATCTAAAACTTAAAAGAAAATTTAATAAAAAAATGTTATTAAACGAAACGGCAAAATAAAATAAGTTCCTACAAATTAGATGAAAATAAGAAATTATATAAAATGTGTTTCTAAAAACAAAATGAAAAGAATATATATTTTTTAAGAACCATAAAATCTAAAAATTAAATTGAAAAAGAAAAATCGTATTACACTAAACGAGCAATTCTTGTATATATTTATATCCATAGCGTTCTCGGAAACGGCTCCAACGATTTTGATGAAATTTTGTACACAGATAATATTTTGGATTTTAAGGTTATCTGAATAGGCATTGCTTCCAAAAAGACTTGTATAAGATTGCCACCTATTCGAAATTACTTACAAATTAACTATAATATCATAATATGGATATAAAATGGAAGCTATTTCAAAGATCCCTAATTTAAAAATATTTTTAATAGGGTTGCCACCTACTTTGAATCGCATATTTATTTAATTTTTTATTTAGAAAAAAAGGTGAAATATTACTATTCGTGGGTACCAAGAGAAGGTACCAAATGTTATCCCTTAGGATTATACTGTGAGGTTGCCACTTATTTTCGATTTTACACAATTTATCTAAAACCTCGCAATATGGGTATCAAATGAAAGGTATTGTTGAGCACTTTGGTCGGAAAATATTTTCCATCAGGGTTGCCACGCTTCTATGTAATACAAATTTTTATTTTGTTAATATTACGCTCAAGATTTGTAGCATTCATTCCAGCGTATTTCGGAATAGGGTTGCCACCTAAATCTTGGAGTAAGAGATTTACTTAATAGCTAGCGAAATCCAATTTTTTTTTATTTCCAAAATATTTTTTCAAAGCTATCCAAATCTTGAAAACTTTAAAAAGTATGTGCACTCCGGGCAAAGCTCGGTCAACTTGGTACTTTATGTTAAAAAAACGATAAGGAAATTCCGTTGCCCGAAGATTCGACACCTCGGATCTCTCGAATGGCACGCCATAAAGATTGGTTTTGTAAGACTTTTGTGCCTGAATAAACAAAATAATTCAAACTACAGTCTTTCAATTGCTTTACAAAAGACTTGCAACTATCTTAGCCAGAATTGCCCTGCTATTTACGTAGATTTCTTTCATTCAATAGATAAATAGCTTTTTCTAAATGATTTCGTTATTAAAATATCTGCTGTGGACAACGCACAAGTCTTTCCTCCGCTAAAATGACGCAGATAAGCAGACATGCGGAAATAAATCCATCCACTCCATTTCACATATTCTGTAAGAGTCTGCACAGACACAAAATTATTACAAATTTATAAACTTTTCTTATAAATTTACGAACTCTAAGCCCATTTACATAATACTGAATAAAAAAAGAACAAACGGAAAATATTTCGAAAGTTATGCAAATATTTACACAATTATATGTGTGTATTTACTCGTAAATTGAGGGTTCTAAACACAGCATAAATACATAAGTAGTAAATGTGTAAGAAAAAATGTATAGCAATACATATTATTTAGCATGCCTTCAGGCGCATGAAACAATAAATAATACGAGTAAATATATTCTCACCAAAATAGTATAACACGCTAATATCATATACGATAGCACAGCAAAAGAGAAATGCGTTAAGTGGAAAATGTGGTAAACAATTTCAAGGTATGTATTTACGAGTACGTATGTAGGTACGTGGCGCTTGCAGCTAAACAGCATATGCTAAGTAGCACATTTTCTAGCACGCTTATAAGACTAACACGTCAAGTATGCTGCAGCTGATGCAGAATAAAAATAAATACAAAAAATAAATAAATAAATATGCTAACTAGTTGAGCGCAAGATACGTAATACATATGTATGTATGTATTAGGGCGGGTCGATTTGTAGGGGCCCAAAAAAATTACCAGAAGCACATCGCGATTATGATTATTTGGGTCATTTCAAGCATTTTTGCCCAGGGAATCATAGGTCTAAAATGAATTTCGAGCCAGCGATTTTTTATATCGAGTTTTAATTCAAAATTGGCTCACCTGTTGAAACAGCTGTATTTAAAACTAGCCAAAATGTGTATCTGGGGGTTTTGGGGTAGAGGAATCGATTTATGGCATTATTTTTTTCCCTTGAGGGCCGCCAGAGGGCGCTTCCGTACTTTTTTTTTGGATTTTCCGAAAATCGACAACATTGTTGTGAAAATCCACGAAATTAGACTTTCTAGTAATGCATTTTCAATTTTTAAATAGCCTAAAATGTTCAGCGTTGAAATTTTTACTTTTTTATTTTACATATTAAACACAGTACGAAAATGAAAAAACATGCTTTCCCACATGCCATTTGTCATACAATATGTCGATAAACAGTATTACCAAAAAAATACGTTATACCTATTTAAAAACTGAAACATTAGTATGTATGTACATACCTACATACAAGGAAACATTAAATTGCAAAAAAAAAAAATAGTATACGTTATTAAGCAATTGCCTCATACCACCGTTTTGCCATTCATAAAGTGATGAAAAAAAAATCGTATGGCCGTGGAAATTCTGCTTTGTCACCCATCTCAAAATTGAAACAGTCTCCTTTTTACGATGGAATTTTTTAGCCATAAAAGAGCAACGTGTGACACCAACAAGCATATGTACATACAAATACATTAAGTACAATGTAAGTAAAAAGGAAGATGAAAAAAGTGTAAGGTAGCTTTAGACGTGGAAAGTGCAAGTACTTTAGAAAAGTCTTTCAAACTCTAGAATTTCGCGAAGTGATTGCAAGAGCAGTTACATCTTGCATGTAAAGTGACTTTCGAAAGCAGTTTAAATTCTGAAAATCGTACTTTCCGATATTTATTTTTTGTCAGTTGCATGCAGCAAATTTTACTTTCAACTATTTTACCAAATATTTTTATGCTAATAACAAAATTAATGATCCGAAAACAGAAAATGTTGAACGCATATTTATTTAACACTTTCTTGGATTTGTTCATTATATTCGACACATAAGAAAACAATTAAATTTTTCCTTACGTTTATCAGTGCGATTTTTTTAATAAAAAAAATATTATTTTTGTCTTTTCATCACCTAAATGGAAGGAATATTACCCCAAAGAATTTGTTTAACGTTTATTTTACCTTAGCACCCTTTCACATTTTTGAAATTAGTTTAATAACCATATAAAAATTAACAAAAAATTGCGTTACATGGCAACACTACCGTGGTTGAACGTGAAATTTACTTTCGCGATTTGCGTTCTTCCACTTACAGTTACACCCTGCAATTTTTAGTTCCGCAAGTGGTTTCTGTAAATCTGCAAAAAGTATTTTTTTGGGTGTTTACACTGCAAAGTGGACTTTCGCTTTCGCTTTTTGACAGCAAAATGCATAGAAAAGCACTTACATTGCCACGTCTAACCGCCCATTAATGTTCTAGATGCTGCGCCAAACATTTAGGACATCATAACCTGTGCTTAGGGGAGGTCATGCGTGATATTGAAGGAAATTTACGACAAAACAAAGCGAAGCAATTCCACAACGACAATCTTCGGTGAAACGACATTGAAATCTCCATTGAAATGAAATTTCATTTTGTGGTCATCATTTTTGTGATTGCAAAATGTTTTATGTTCTTTTATTTTTTTATTTTTTGTAGGCAAGAAAAGAAATAGCAATCTGCTGCTTTATGTCTGCTACCAGCAGCAATCAGTTTACCTGTATAAATGATTTTGTAAGCCACAGTTGTTTTCACACTTGCAAATTGATTGGAAAATATTAGAAAATATCCGTGAAATTATTAGGATTTCGATATTTGATTGTTGTGAATGATTGCGACCTTATTTTTAATTTTTTTTTTAAATCAGAGTAGAGTTAGTTTTCAAGAAATATTTTCACCGAAATAATGAAAAATACAGAAATCCTTGCTGAGGCTAAAAGCCTGCTGAGGAAAGTTACTTAAAGACGTAATGTTCTTTTTTTACAGTCGAAGTACTGTTTTTTTTTTAAATACGTTTTACAGAATGCTTTTAAATATCAATATGCAAATATACCAGACAGTTTATTATTAAATTCAGCAGGAAATTATGCAACTCATACGCCATGTTTCCACTCCTTTCATCAAACTTAACAGGAAAATAAAAACTATTGAGTAGGCGATAAAGTTCGCGGTTTTACTGAAATCTTTATTTTTCGAATATAGAATAAACCGAATTCTTTTGATCGAAAAATACCGTTTTTTCATTTAATGCGAACCTCTCAATAAAAGTTTTGAGCTTTTCGAAGCTTTCAAAGCTTTTTTCAGTTTAAGAGAAATCCCTTAATAGTTTTAAAATTATATTTTAGGTTATTTGCCGGTCTCTGTGGCGTTGTGGTAAGCAAAACGCGCTTACTCTCCGCAGGGCTTGGGTTCAAGTCTTGGTCAAAGCAGCATCGCAAAAAAAATATAGAAAAAAGTTTTAATATTCTTATTGAGCTTTGTACCACGCTTATATTTATTCGGAAAAATGGAAAAAGCAACAAAGTCTAAGCGGTAGAAGTTCTAGCAGCTATTTTGGAGATCACCACATCTCCTCATCAGACTTTTCTTCAACCAAATTCTGAGATAGGGTGTTTTCAATAAAATTCTGAGATATGGCGTTCTTAAATAAAATTCTTAGGTAGGGCGTTCCTGAAAAATTTTCTGAGATAGGGCGTTTTTGAATAAGCTGCCGAGATAGTTCGATCTTCCACTCAGGTATCGAAATGAAATTTCTGCCCTCATACTTCTACAGTAGAATTTAAAGCAAATTTTTTTTTATGAAGCGCTTCAAGGTTTCGAATAGCCAAAATCTATTTGACAACGCTTAACTAAAAATGCTGCAAGCATTAACATACGTGCTTGTAAATAAATGTCTTAGTTTAAGAAATGTTGCCGAAAAATATAAGTAATTCAATGTTAAATAAAAATTATTATTCTGTTCCCATATTTGTGTTTAACATTTGTATATGCTATATAAGCCGCTAACGAAAATGCAATTTTGTTGAGCTTTTTTGAGTTAAGAGTTTTTTTTATTTAAATGAGCTAGCATAATTATGCCATTGTTATCTTTTCTTTGAAAAAAAACATAATTAATTCACATTAATTTTTAAATAAATCTGAATAGAAGCTTAATGGAGCTCAAGACGCTGTTCCTATTATTATTTATTTATTTTTTTATTTATGTTGTATTTTTGTGCTGCATTTAGCAAACCAAGCTTTTAAAGTAAATCAAAGCATGCTGAAGTCAGTAAGGCGAGCAAAGCAAGCCTACATTGGGCCAGCACCTTTAGGATAAGTGCGTAAGAAAGCATAGTTCAAGGTAATGTTTACACATTGCGAACACCTGCACTTAAGAGCATTAGAGTGGATCGGTTTGTATGGAACGCATATTTTAAGTACATACATACATTCCCACCTTGATTTCTTGCGTGATATCCTCGGCGAGGTGTCAGGATGAGCATAGCGAGAGGTTTCACCAGGAAAACAAACTAATCGAGGCAACATTCAAAGGAAAATCAAATAAAGTACTGATTTCGGAGTACCTATGGAACTTGTTGCCGAGAAGAATACCAGAAGAATAAGATTAAAAATTAACAATCTTAGTCACTTGAAACTTGCACTTTATTGTACTAAAATTTCATAATCTATAAAACTAAAAAAAAAAAAAAATTATGAAAATGAATTTTTTTTTATAACATTTAATTTTTTTTTTCTTTTTGGATGAACTCTACATTTGTTCTCAACTAGTTTTTATTATTTAACATTTATTGACTGAAACAAGAGAATGTATTTTCCTCAAATAAGCACTTTGCACCAAAAATTTTATACAAGTCTCTTACTAATTTTATAAGCTTTCATAAAAAAATCGTATTGCGTTAATCGTATTGCATTAAAAATTGAAGGCTCTACTGAATTATGAACAGTGAATGCCAGATTTGAACCACTGTGCGCTGTGGTCGCCTCTTCATTCTGTCCAAATGAAGTAAAACCTCATACCTGAAAAAATTATCTTTATGGCAGCTAAAGGTTAAAGTGACCCGATCTTTGTCATTTTCACTGTAAACAATCTTTTAAAATTAACTGAAAATATTTCAAATTTTGATGTTCCTAGCTGCACAAATGGAGGAGTTATGACGCAAAATGGCATATCTGAACAAATTGGTTGTATGGGAGCTATATTTTGTAGTGACCCGATTTTACTGGTTCTGACAAATGATTAGATATAAGAAAGCATCCGGCAGGCACGCAGACGGATATGGCTTAATCGACTAAGATCACGTGAAAAAATAATGCTTATTTAATACGACCTACTCAACACCTGTTTGGAGACTTCAGCTACTGAAACTCGAATTTTGTGCCACATAACGGTTTGAGTACCTTCTGCAGAGTAGCAGGGTATACATTTTATAATTATATACGTACCAGAGCTGTGTAATGATTGAATCAATTGAGTGTGCATTCTCATTTTTTTCGTTTCGAAAATGTGATTGTTTGATTTAAAAAATTTAACAACCACTCTTGAGATTGGTTACATATTGTAAACACAAAATATGTAGAGTGTTATGGAATGGTTGAGACCCATTCTCATAGAGAATGTGAATGCA